AATTAGGATAAAAATATTGGGAGATGACTGGCTCATGAAGGTATTAACTTCATCAATGGGTTAATTCATCAATGGTTTGTTCTAAAGGGGCTATTAAAAGGTAGGGCCTGGTTGGAGGAGTAAGTCGCCAGGGACATGTCTTCCTGGGCCCCTTCCTGTCTGTCCCTACCTTCTGTCTGCCATGAGTTGATTTATCCTCTCACATGTTCCCTGACATTGTAATGTTCTATCATATCAAGCACAGGTCCAAGAGCAGTGGAACCAAGTGACTGTGTGATAAGGGAGAGTTAGGGTTACTTTATATTCTATATTACAAGAGCACACGTGCAGTATGCATATTGTCAATGGGAATCTGCATGTACCCTCTGTAACTTGTATGATCACACGGGAGGAATGTGAGACTCAGTGGTCTTCGAAATTTGTGAATCCCCACTACAGAGAGAGAGAGAGAGAGAGAGAGAGAGAGAGAGAGAGAGAGAGAGAAGAGAGAGGAGAGAGATGAAGATGAGGAAACAGTGAAGGAAGAAATAAGAAGAAAAGTACTACCTGGCTGGAGGGGCCTGACCAGAGGGACCAGACTCAAGTTTGGAATGATTAATTGCCTTTGTTCTTGTTCCTTATAAAATGGGCTCGTTGGCAGTGGTTTGAGTAAGGCAGATTTGGGAATGATAATACTCTGGCCTCCTAGATTGCTGGCTCTCTGAATAAAGTACTGATTAAAGATTCACTTCCTGCCTCTGCCATTGGCTTCTGTAGTAACCCAGCAACACAAACTACTTGGTTTCATATCTTGGTGAGTGCAAAGCCAAAATAAACATAACCAAGACATAAAAGTGGAGTGGAGAAAGATTTATTACCTGAAGCAGGGAAGAAAAACATAGGATTTATTTCCAAAGCAATGCCCTCCTTGAACAAAGGAAGAGAAACAATTTCATTCAGGGAGCCTATACATGCTCTGATAGAGGTTGGCCCAACCCCAAGCTTTATCACTTAGGGAGCATACCCCTGGGTATGCTCAATATGATATGAAGTTCATGTTTAGAAGATTCGATAGATAACAGGAATGCCTCCAGGCATGCTCAGCTTGTACCATAAAGTTTATTCTGAAAATGAACGCCTTTTGAAGGTACATCAATCTAAGAGTGTGTTCTGAAAGGGTCTGCCTTAGTGACTAACATAGCAACTGAAATGCTTGGGTGATTCTGAGGAAATAGCATGATTTAGTTTTTTTTTTGTTTTTTTTTTTTGGTTTTTTTTTTTGTTTTTGTTTTTGTTTTTTTTTTTTTTTTTTTTTTTTTTTTTTTGAGACAAGGTCTCATTATGTAGCCCTGGAATTTGCTCACAGAGATCCTCCCATCTCTGCTTTCCAAGTGCTGAGATTAAAGGTGTATGTCCTCAACCTAGCCATATCCCTTTCTTTATCTAAGCAATGATTACATGAGTTTGCTGACTTCGTTAAGAGTATATCAAACTATATCTTTATGCTAACTGCATTTTCCTCCATTAGATTTCTCAATTACACTATGTTTTAAACTGAAAAGGATCACCGCTGCAACATGGTAGTGAATTTAGGCAAAAAAGATACTGGGTGTGATGGCGCATACCTTTAGTCCCAGAATTCAGGAGGTTGAGGCATGAGGATTGCCTTAAGTTCAAGTTTGACCTGGACTAGTGTCAGACTGCTCTAATATCTACCTGCGCTCCCAAATTCAGCACAGAAACCAGGCAGAGGAGTGGAAAAGTCCAGACAAGGAAGCCTCCAAAGTTTGGATTTGTGTCTTTTTTTGTTTTATCTGAGCAATAACCAAAATATATTTATTTTTTTTGGTTGCTGAGGTGTATTAAATTTGAAGAAGATAATATATCCATCTTCAACAATATAATTTCTGCCTTGTTGTTTGTATTTTCCAGCAGCCTTGACTGCATTTTCTGAACCCTCCTCTTTAAAGTCCTCATATTTCATTACTTCAGCCATAATGAATCCCTTTTCAAAGTCTGTGTGAATCTTCCCTGCAGACTGAGGAGCCTCATTCCTTTCCTGGTGGTCCACGCATGCACTTCATCTGGCCTGCAGTTTTGTGTCTTTTAATGTTTATCTCTGTGAACACTTTAGCCTCTGGATAAAGCTTATTTGCATATTCTGTAAATTGTGCTATGGTGAGTTTAAGAAGGTTGAATTTGGCCTGATTTTGGGCCAGTCACATGGTTTGGTGGGTAAGGGTCCTTGTCACCAAACCTGATACCTGGGACTCACAACGTGGAAAGAAAAAACGGACTCCTGGGACTTGACTTCTGACCTCTATAGTTATGTGCCTTGAATCCCACAAAATAAGCAAATAAGTGTGAAAACAAAGAGAGGCAAGCTGTGTCAGAAAAAGCCTGATTTGTAAAGATCAGAGCCTGAATTTTATTTTATGTGTATGAGTGTTTTGCCTGCATGTACATATATGCATAACATGTGTGCAGTACCTGCAGGGATCAGAAGAAGCCACTGTATCCGCTGAAACTGGAACCATGGATGGTTGTGAGCCACCATGTGGGTGCTGGGAATCAAACCTAGGTTCTCCACAAGAGCAGCATGCCCTCTTAAAGGAGCCACCTCTCCAGCCTGCACCATGCCAATCTTAATACAACATTTCCCAGCTTCCTTTGCAGTTAGGCATGACCATGTGACAATTTCTAGCCAATAGAACTAGTGGAAGTGATATGAACCACTCAGATTTATTTTGGAAAACCTTCCTTTATATGCCTCTTCATTGTATTTGTTAAGTTTTTGTTGTTGTTGTTTTGTTTTAATTTTCTGTTTGGCCAGACGTGATGGCCAAGACCTTTAATTTCTGCTTTCAGGAGGCAGAGACTGATGGAGCTCTGTAAGTTTTAAGCCAGTCTGGTTTACACAGCAAGTTCCAGGCCAGCCAGGACTATCGAGTAAAAAGATCCTGTCTCAAACAAGCAAATAAATTCTCTACCTGTACTAAATATAGACAAACCCCTCAGTGATCCATACACTGAAGCAGAGTCCCATCAGCTTAGCGTGTTCCTTGAGAACCCTACACAATATCACCCTCCTTTTCCCAGGCCCAGTCTACCACTTCATTGTACTGACACATAATTAATGCCAAGAACTTAAATTTTGAAATTTATCTGTTACAGAAGCTGACATTTTCCTAACTAATACAGCAAAGATAGCAGAGATTTATTAACAGAATCTGCACTCTTATTGCTTGTGAAAATAACAGTGTAATAGCCTACGGCCCAACATTTAGCTCTCATGGGTTATAACTAATATTGTTTGTTTGTGACAAGATCTCATGAGCTCAGGCTGGACTCAAACTCATTATGTGGCCAAAGATGACATTCAACTCCTGATCCTCCTCCTCCTACCTCTCAAGTGTTGAGATTACAGGCATGCACCAACATGCCTGGCTCATAACTAATATCTTATTAATATAATATTAATTAAAAATAGTTTTGCTGTGGGCTGAAGCACATCTCCTCAATCTCACATCCTGCCGTCCTACTAATCCTCATCCCCAACTTCCACATCTCACAACCGGACTTCTTTTTTTGGCAATGAGGTCTTCCCAGAGCTAAGGAGTTAAGATGAGGTCACACTGGAGTAGGGTGGATCCACTTCCGCACACGTCCTTGTAAAATGGGGACATTTGAACACAGACACGCAAACAGGAAAACACCACCTGAAGGCTGGAATTTTGCTGTCACAAGCCAAAGAGGCCTGGGACAGATCCGTCCTTAGTGCTTTGGGAGGGAGTGTGGCACCATCGATACCTTGATCTCTAGCCATCTGCCGTTCAGAACTGCAAGCCAACGACTTTCTGCTGCCTAACCCACCTACTTTGTGTCATTTTGTTTCATCACCTCAGAAGAATTAAAGAGGCTTCTATTCTATTCTGTTTTGCCTCGTTTTTCCTTCAGTGCTTCATCTCAGACCAAGGAATCCAATAGGTATATCTGATCCTGCCAGTTACCAAATTAAAGTTCATTCAATTTCTCCAGCCACCATTTATAGACTATCTCCCATCTTCTGAGAAAGGTTTACAAGGCTTCTGCTAAACTCAATTCATACTTTTCTCTCAGCAATGCTGAACTTCTGGGCTCCACTAAATACACAAGACTATTTCAAGCTCTTGACCTTTGTCCATTTCTCAACAATAAACTCACTTATGCTCCTACCTATTTTCCTCATCCTCTAAGATTCAGTGCAAACATTCTTTCTACAAGGAAACATTCCCTGGTTCTTGCCCACCCGCATCCTGCCCCACCTGCAACAGATTCCTGGATGCAGGCAGGTGACTTTTTTTTTTTCTAATTCCTTCTTTTTGTTAAAACAATCTATGTATCTGCCTGCCAAACTAAAATGTGCATTTTTGGGCTCCCTGTCACTGTGTGTATGTTCACATAAATTCATCTACAGTATTTAAAATAAGATCGGTTCTCCACAGAGTAGATAGGGGGCATTACAAGAGGTAGGTGTCTATGGCTGGCAGTGAATTACGAATACAATGGATTACTATCCTAAACCAAAAGGCTCATTACCAACAAAGCTTCTTTTATCTGTCAAGCTGCTTGACACTCAGAGAAGCCAGGGTGGAGGTTTGGGAGCCTCAAAACCAAGATTTCCCCTCCTCTTTCCACCAAGAGTTCACATAATCCCTTAAAAAGAATGCTGGACAGGCCCACGCCAACAAGTCATCCCATAATAAGTGGCACAACGCCTTCCAGCTAATGTAGTGAATGCCGTGGGCGCTCCAAAGTTATGCAGTCTTTGGGGGATGGGATGGGGGAGCAGGGACCAGGCAGGAAGCACAGGGAATGAAGAGATACATTCAACGCTGATTCCTTGATTCACTGAGATGCTTCCCACGGCCACTGAGCTCTCTCCCCTCCTCCAGCCCTGAAGGTACTCAGGCTCTGCTCTTCCCCCTCCCTCTCCGCCAAAAGCCCCAAGTTCTTTTCTCCAGACCCTTCTGGTCTCCTACCTGGCTGGATGAGAAGCAGGTAGACAAAAGGAGCGAGGCGCAGGGCCCTGGAGGCTCTGGACAGGGCTTCCCTTTCTCTCTTCATTTTGGGTGGCGTTCTCCAGCTCTGGTGCAGACAATTAGCATGATTTCTCCACTCCGGGCACGTCTCTTTGTACCACTCGGAGTTCCTCTGCCCGGGCACAACCCTGCCAACTTCCCTCTGAATACACAGAGCTCTGTGTGTTGCTGGCCTTGTTCTCTCCTCTCGCTTCGCTCAGATCTAGCATTTTCTAGTTTCCAAGTTTCCTAGTTTGGACAGGGGTATCTACATGGCATGATAATCTCCACTGCATGTTGCATCACACTGGGCTCTGGTGGTCCAGCGGTCCTTGGCTTGTCTGCAAGAAGCCCCACTCCTAAGGCAGATGAAGATCCGGGCTCAGTGACCCAACCTTCATGGCTCCACCTCACACTCCTCCTTCCGCTTCAGGACAGACTTCTAATAAGGGAGAAAAGGTGGGGGGGGTGGAGGGAGCGTTTTGGGGTATCTCGGGAAATGAGAGACCTGAAAGAATTGCTGAAGAAGTGGAAAACCCCAAGGGAAGACGATTGGAAAAGGGCTTGAATTTTGTTACTTTCACATGTGTTTCTAGTTGGGAATCGCTATCATAGGTTCAGATAGATGTTGGGAGCGTCTTCCCAGAAGTCAATCTGTCATTCCCCTACATCCAACCAGTGTTCTGGAACCTGTCAGAGCAAAGATGCTCCACAATCCAGCAGCCTGGGGCTCTGCTAGCAGTGTAACAGCCTAGTGTGTCGTCCTGTCTCTCAGATCTGTGCCTTCACTCCACTCATGGCCGTGCCTTCTCATAAAATGCTCATAAAAGACTCAATGTCTTTGGGTTCTTGATTTTACCTCCGTAAAATGGCTAAAACAATAGACTCCTTGGAGGTGTTGTTGGGAAGACTGGTGAAGATTGTGGTACAGAATGCTCAGCAAGTGCTTCATTAAGGAGAAAGAATTGCAGGCTGAGTGTGGCAGTATGTATACCTGTAAACCCAGCACCAAGGAGGCAGAGGCAGGAAGATTGTGAGTTCAAGACCAACCTAAGGTTCACAGTGATGCCTGTTTCGAAAAACCACAACAGGCATAGTGATGCATGCATGTGATTCCAGAACTTGGAGAATTGAGCATTTGGAAGATTGCTGGGAGTTTGAGGCAAGTTTGGGCTACATCATGAGTTTCAGGCTGTGAGACCCCCATCTCAACAAAACAAAACAGAATAAAATCGAAATCCAAATCAACCAACGAAACAGAGCATCAAAAAGAACATTTCATTTTTATTTTATTTTTCTTAGTTATAGGTGAATGTATTTAATCTTAAAGTCAAAACTAGTTTATGTTTATAGACCTAAACGTTGAGGGCTACTCCACGCTGTCTTGCTTTTTCCCCTTCTTTTTATGTTTAAAACATTTAAATTAAGATATAATTCACATATCAGGAAATTTACCTTTAGTATGTACAGTTCAGAGGCTTTAGTATTTTCATCAGATTCTGAAATGATTACACATATCCAAATCCAGTTAGTTCTCCCCAAATAAGACTCATACTCTTAGCTGTCACTCACTATACTCTTTCCCTCCAGCCCCATTAACTACTGATCTACTTTCTGTCTATGTGGATTTGCCTATTATGGATATGCTGTATAGATAGATGACGCCATACCCACAACACCACCTATTTCTAAGTTTTTATGAAACACCCAAACTGTTTTCCAAAGAACCTGAATCATTTATATTCTCATTAGGAGTATACAGGTGGCACTGTAAGACCCTCTCCACATTTTGTTTGTCTTTGTTCTTGAGACAGGGTCTTGGGTATCCAAGATTGGCTTCCAACATTCTATATAGTTGAAGATGACCTGGGACTCCTGATCTTCCTTCTACCAAATCTCAAGACTTGGAATTCCAGGTGTACACCACTATGCCCTGTTTAAATGCCCACTCCCTTTTAAAAAAGCAAATTATATATTTCATACATTTATATAGTATATTTTGTTCATTTGCCAACCCTCCTCCCAATTGCCTTCTCTAATTCCCTCCCAGTTCTGCTGGGAACACCTTCTCAATAAGGCCTCTTTTCATATCTTTTGCAGGGGGAAGTTAGGGGATGGCCAAGCAAAAAAGCAAAGTTTCTTGAAGACAAAAGAAACAGCTCTCTGAAGCTGGGAGGGGACTGGAAAATAAGTTAAATAGGTTATTTGTTTATTTAGCTCTGTTTTGTTCCGTTTTTGTGACCCACTGAGTTTGATTAGGGGTGCTTTCAGGGCATGGGTAGAGGGTTTCTTACAGGAGCATGGGTTACACCACTAAGGAAAACGACTGTGTCTCCCCTCAACAACCATTAACTGTCTAACTCTTAGGAAGAGGTGGGGCCTCCTGAGTCCTTCTCCCACAACCTATTACATTTAAAAAAATATAAATTGTCACCAGGCATTGGTGGTCCACACCTTTAGTACCAGCACTCAGGAGGCAGAGGCAGGCAGATCTCTGGATTTGAGGTGAGCCTGTTCTACAGAGTGAGTTCCAGGACAGCCAGGGTTGTTACACAGAGAAACCCTGTCTTGAAAAACAAAACAAAAATTATAATTTGTTTAGTGTGTGTGTGTGTGTGTGTGTGTGTGTGTGTGTGTGTGTGTGTGTGTGAGAGACAACTTGGGAGAGTTGATTGTCTCCTTCCACCATGTGGGTCCGAGGTATTGAATTCAGGTCAGCAGGCTTGGTGACAGGTGCCTTTGCTCACAGGGCTATCTCCACAGTCCCCCATAGCCTCCCTCTTTTTTTAAAGATGCTTCTCCTTCCTTCCTTTTTCATTTATGCAGGGATCACTTTATCCGTGTAAGACCAAAAGTTCTTGACTTCCTCATGTTTTTTTATTTTTTTGAGAGAAGGTCTCATTGTATCCTTGAACTCCTGATTCTTCTCCTCCAATCTCCAAATGCCAGGATTTCAGGCATGTACTGCCACACCCACTTCATAAGTCCCCATCATTCACTTTTATCCCCAGTCTTAGTTTTGTAAGCATAGCAACTGTCTCTACTTATGCTTTTCACAAACTGGATCAAACTCAGCTAGGCCAGTTTTCTAAAATTGAAGCAACACTGAGCTGCCCATCTGAGCCAGGGAGGGCATCCTGGTGGAACTCCAGATAATGTTCTGAAATCTGTAAAACAATTTTTCTCCTTTTCTATCTCTGAGTCTGTGACTTTTGCGAAGACAACTCAAGACACCTGTCTGCTTCTGGGAAGCTATTGTTCCGGCAGACGGGAAAGTCAGCTTTTAGCTCTTGGCATTTAAAATTGTATTTTAAAGTTAGTAAGAAGCTGAAAAGCTTAATAGCTAGTCTATGTAAAGGGCAAAAGAGAGATAATTTCTTTTATCTGTCTCTCTGTCATATCATGGAACAGCCTGTAGACCAGATCCCAGTTATTATTATTTTTTAATGTTTTAGAGGAGTCACTTTTGTTTGTGATGGCTTGAGATTTCCTGAGTGGGAAAAGGAAACATGATGTTCAGGAAACAGAAAAGCCTAATGTCTGGTCTTTTTAGTCTGAAGTACTGTGGAAAATAAACTGTGCAAAGGAGGAGCTAAAAAGAATTTAAATACTCAACACCCTGTTTTTTCCCCACTCTGGCGATGAGGCTTAGGGTCCTGATACCTGTACAGAATTTGCAAGTGCCCCAGAGTGTACATAAGCCCGGGGAAGATTCAGAGGTGCTAAGAGGGAGAGAACTGGCAGGGGGCAGAAGAGGGCGCACAGGTGCTCCTGTGTATGGGAACTCTGCTGCCTGAGGAGATGAGGCAGATCAACTGTTGTGGGAGGAGCCAGAAAGTAGCTCCATAGACCAGCAAGGAGATGTCAGACACCGGTACTGTCTGCCTCTTGCTATGTCGCCTCAGCCAGACTACCTACACTCTACTCACTCCAATCCTTTTGAGGGAGGATCTGGGGTTGACAGAACAGAGGAGGAAGCAGCCTGAGTGTCCCAGTGACTGAAATACTTGAGGACCTTAACAAGAAAAGGTCAGGATAGTGAGCTTCCTGAAAGGCAGAGGCTCAGCGGAAGGTCACAGCAACTATAAACACATACAGGCACTGCCTTGCCTTCATCTGTCTCAGAGAACAATGCATAATTTTGCAATCCTGTTTTGGGTGGTTTTGAAAACAGCAAGCAGACTTGTAGATGCTTATAATTGTCTGCTTATATGCTTTTCTCTTCTAATAAATAAAGGCTCTTTAATTAAAGGACTGTGTTTATGTCATTGGCTGTTGCTTACCTTGTCACCCTTTCATATGTACTTTGGGTTCTCTCTCTGGGTGTATTCACTTAATTGTTCTGGCTCCCCACCTCTGCCCTCTGAGCAGCCCAGAACTGCTGTCCTCACAACTATGCATTTGGGTCCTATAGCTCAGAACAGAGCTTCCATCCACCATTCACTTAGGCACCAACTGAAACTCTGGAGTGTGTGTGTGTGTTTTGAAACCAGGGAAGGGGGAAGCTAGTAGTTTTAACTGAGTCACCATCGAAAGTAAGCCTCTTCATGACCTGGAGAAAAGAAGCCAGGATGCAGGATGGGATTGGAAAAGGTATGCTCTGCCCTCCAAGTGCTGGCAGTCTTGCAGGACTGGCAGGGCAGACCCAGAACAGTGGACTCCCCGTAGCAGCAAAATATGCCTTTGTTCTACTTTCTTCATTTCCCAATGAAGGACACCAAGGGACAGAGAGACTCGCTATTTTTTTTTTCAGAGTTAGTGTTATTGACCAGTGGACCAAGACTCGTGATATCAGCAACAAAAATAATAAAAGAAAAAGACTTGAGGTGTAGTTCAGTGCTACAGCCCTCACCTAGTATGTGTGCCAGGCCCTGGCTTCAATTCCTGGTATTGCAAAACAACAACAGTAAGTGCCCCATAAGAGGTAGAATTTGCTGTGTGTGTACCTGTAATCCCAGCACCCAGGAGGTAGAGGCAGTAAGTAGGATTTCCATGAGTTCAAGGCTAGTTTGGGCTGCATAGTGAATTCTGGGCCAGCCAGGTCTA